AAAATTCTGTATTACTGGCCCAATGTTGTCATGTCAGGCCGTTTGATATAAACAAAATATTACATGATTCTGTATTACCAGCCCAATGTTGTCAGACCTTAAAGGTACGAAAATATAGCAGAGTTCTGTTTTGAAATTGACGTAAATGATACTGATTACATTCCAAGGCGGACTCGATTGAGCTAGCGGTGTTGCCACATGATAAAATTCAATTTTTGGAAATCCGCATCTTTTGAGTGGTTTATTAAATGAATGTGAAAACCAATCAAGAGCCGAGAATAATTAAAATTTGAATTTTAAAGCCAATCAAGAACTGGAAAGCGGCGTTGTCAATTGATGAAAATAATTTCAAAAAATGAAAAAAAAAAAAACCCAAATTAAGCGAAAATTCCCTAAAAATAATAAATTTCCCTTGAAAATCCTTGGAAAACTTGTTTTCAAATAAAAGTTTCTGTCATTCACCTAGATTGGAAAACTGGAAATTTCTAGCACAAAACGAAAAAAATCCAAAGTCCCGCACTTAAAAACACTTTTTTCCATTTAAAAAATCCCGGAAAAGTGGAAAGTTCGCGGAAAAACCGGAACAAAAACACTCAAAATGGCCGACTGTCAAATGTCATTGTCAGGGCTTTGGAAATACATAACATTCCAAGGCCGACTTGATTGGAACCCGAGTGAAGTTGGCTACAAAGCACTGTTGCAAACTAAAGAAAAATCGTATTTTAGTGAAAAAGTTGATTTTTAAAACTAGAAATTCCCTGAAAAGTTGTTTTTTAGTGAGTTTATTTTTGCTGACGGAACACGGAAAGTTTTGGCTGAAAATGAAGAAAACTCAAAGCCTCGTACTTAAAATCGGTTTTCCCGACCAAAAACACCCTGGAAAAGCAAAAAATCCAAAGAAAAACCTCTGAAAAGGACATTCCAAAGCCTACTTGATGAAACTTGAGTTTTTGTCACTTACCTTATTGGAAAACTGAAAATTTTTGGCACAAAATGAAGGAAATCCAAAGCCTTGTACTTAAAATCGGGTTTTCCGCCCGAAAAAGTCCTGGAAAAGCGAAAAATCCGAAGAAAAATCTCTAAAATGGGCATTCTTGATGAAACTTGAGTTTTTGTCACTTACCTTCTTGAAAAACTGAAATTTTTTGGCACAAAATGAAGGAAACTCAAAGCCTCGTACTTAAAACCGGTTTTCCCGAGCGAAAAAACCCTGGAAAGGCGGAAAATTCAAAAAAAAAACCTCTAAAAAGGACATTCCAAAGCCTACTTGATAAAACTTTAGTTTTTGTCACTTACCCCATTGGAAAACTGGAAATTTTTGGCACAAAATGAAGGAAACTCAAAGCCTCGTACTTAAAACCAGTTTTCCTGGTTGAAAACGACCTGGAAAAGGGGAAAATCTGAAGGAAAATCAGGATAAAACACTGAAAATGGCCGACCGTCGAAGCTAACAAGTGACTTACTTACTTAATTGAAGTTAGCCACAAGCGGTGTTGCAGGATAAAACTTCCAGAAAAAGTATTTTAAATGGGATTTTGCTAAATATTGCATTTAATACTAAAAAGTTTGGTTAGAAAATGAAAAAAATCATAGCCTCGTACTTAAAAACCAGTTTTCCCGACCGAAAAAGACTTGGAAAAGTGGAAAATTAAAAAAAAAACCTCTAAAAAGGACTCTCCAACTCTGAAAAACTATTTTAAATGGGATTTTGCTAATTATGGCATTTGAAACTGGGATTTTTTGTTGGAAAATGAAGAAAACCTAAAGCCTCGTACTTTCACCAGTTTTCCCGAGTGAAAACGCTTTGAAAAAGTGGAAAACTGGACAAAAACGTAAACACGTCACTGCAAAATAGCCGACTGAAAGCGGCAATTAAAACTTGTCAAATAAATAATTAATAACGATTATAAAACAAAAAATTCCTTTGGAAACTTGTTTTCAATTGAATTCCAATGAAAATAACATATTACAAGGCCTACTTATCGAGTATAAATGAGTAAGAAAAAGACAACAATAAAGTAGTATACTATTGCAAAAACATCGAAAGCGATTATACATGAGTTAGACAAAGACAGAAACAATGTAGGACGTTATAATTCAATTAAAACCAAACACAAAGGAAATAATTTGATAAAGTAGTACCCACTTAAATTGATAACAAAAGTATCACTAAATCAAATTCTTATATATCATTCATATTTGAGTACCGTGTACTACTCGACTATTGCCTACTGGTCGTTTTTTTAATTTAAATCCGATTTTAATGTAATTAGCCTCTAATCAGGGTTGCCAGACGTCCCGATTTAGGCGGGACAGTTCCGATTTTTAGAGATATTTCCGAATCGTCCCGATTCACGAATTGAATGCCAAATGTCCTGATTTTTAAAAATGTAAGGAAATATATCTCGATTTCCGGCCGACAACACCCTTTTAGGCTGCGTTTCCTACCTATATTGTTTTTTTTTCCTATTCGCTGTCTCGCTTTTTCAAAGTCAAAATCTGGCAACCCTGGTAGAGGCAAATGATATTAGTATCCGAAAAGATAGCATGAGCAGGGCGACATAAGAATATGAACTATGCATGGTACATAAAAATTCAGTCAAGAATTATTCCTGAAATGGGGCAGGTGCTGTGGTGCTACAAATGTATCCTGCATTTCATTCGGCAACATCTAACGAGGCTTGGAACGGGTTCCTAACTACTGCAACTTTCTGTTTAGATAACTCGGAAATATCGCCCATTTCATTCTCAAGGGATTGAAAGTCAATTTTCTGTTTTAGATTCTCCACATTTTCTGTTTCTGATGCTTCGGCAATTATGCATAGCTATCTATGTTCACAAACATGCGACTCACAACACAACACTCACAACCTGTGCTATGCCTTTCGTCCGTAACACCAATGCAACGCTGCGCGGCTTTTGACTGAGGTGAAGGCTAAGGCGGGTTGTCAGATGCAGAAAAATATATATTGGCATTGCCACCCCTCCAAAAACTCAATGCGACCCCCTTAGGGGTCGTGACCCACCGGTTGGGAACCGCTGATCTATACAGAGTGGCCCTTAATATCGGCCTTAAAGTTGATCATAATTAAGAGCCCATTATCTAAAGCTAAATACAAATATTGGAAAATATACAACATTTTTATACAGAATATGATACAAACACAGGATGAAAGTTATGTTTAGGTATTTATTATATATTTCTAAATATTTCACATCAAAATATGCGCTGAAGGGAATTTATACTTGGTATATCGTTAGGAATTTTACTTATAAACGTTGTACAGGGTATTTCAAATTTCAGCCACATCATTGGAATCTCGGAAACGGTGAGAGATAAAAGCGTTAGTTAAATTGGGCAAAGTTGCGAAATTTATTGTTCAACAAGATGCCGCTTTGATATTTAGGATATTCGGGATACTTCCGGAGATATCTGGAAAAAAAAGAGATTTTGCAAAATTGCTTTCATTCTTCTTGACTTTAAGTATTTAAAGTGATATTTAAAAAAAAATCACTTCATCGTAACCACTTTTTCTTCCCCACAAGATTCTAGCTTCAAATTTGAAATCTTTTTGAATCACCATCATTTTTTTTAAATACGGACCCTTATTTTTTATTTTAGATTTTATAAGCTTCTAATATCCCAAAACCAATGACGTATTGCATTTATTCGAAAAATTTACCTATATTATTCGCACTTTCCATATGTATAAGAACTAAATGTGTTAGAGAGAGACAGAGAAGAGAATTATGGTAGGAAATTACTTAAAAGTAGAAAGAATCGAGGAGAAATTTTGTTCGAATAAATGCGATACGTCATAGGTTTTGGGAAATCAGAAGCTCTAAAATTCTGAATTAAGAAATCTAGGATCGTAGGTATTTAAAAAAATAAAGTTGATGATGGTGGCCCAAAGACGAAACGTTAGATTTCAAATTTGATGGTTGTATCTTGTAGGGGAGAAAAAGTGACTAGGATGAAGTGATATATTTTTTTGAAATATCGCTTCAAATAAAATCAGGAAAAAATAAAAACAATTTTGCAAAATTTCGGGTTTTTCCGGATATCTCCGGAAGTATTCGAAATCTCCTAAATATCAAAGCGGCATTTTGCTTCGCTTGAACCAACCCTAACCCTATGTCTCACCGTTTCCGAGATTCCAATGATGTGGTTCGAATTTGAAACACCCTGTACAACAAAGTGACCAAAATATATTAAATTCAGAATATATTGGGTGAACTAACTTATCACAATAAAATATAAAATGGGAAAAGTATCCACCTAATAAAAATAATGAGCTATTATATAAAGATAAATGAATTAGATTATGACATGTAAGATTTGAATAGTTTCATCAAGATTGGATTTAACTGTCAATTTTTCTATGGCTTTATTTCAAATATGTAATTAATTTAATTCATATATTTTATCATGACCGCTTATTATTTTTATAGAAGCGGATAGGTACCTACTCCTTAATCTATTCTAATTTTTTCGCAATAATTAAATTAATTCACCCAATATACTGAATTGATTACTGGATATACCAAGTAGGTGTAAATTCCCTTGAGTTCATATTTTATTTTGATGTGAAATATAGTACCTAAACATAACTTTCATCCTGTGTTTTGTGTTTGTATCATATCTTGCATAAAAATGTAATAAGATCAACTTCAAGGTCGATTTTAAGGGCCACCCTGTATAGATGGAAAGTTTGCCCAATGAAAATAAATGTTTATTTTGCTCTCCTACATATCATATATGTGAATCTCATCAAATTCTGTTGGTGGCAAAAATCCATAAGAATAGTGAGGGGTCGTTTAGAAAAATGTTGGTTGTCAAATATATACTTATGTTTGTTTTCTATCAGAATTTTTTTCAATAAATATTTGAAAAATACTGTTAAAAATAAAATTGGCAAGCAAGGTTTTCAATAGTTTCCTTTGCCAGCGACAAAATAATTTTGAAAAACGACATTGCCACACCATTTTCCATGGCCACCTATTGCAAGAAATACTAGGTAAATAAATGATAAAAAAAACTAATAATTCTAGAATCATTATTTTATATACACATTATTATTTTATATAATAAATGGAGGATTTTTATTAACAAAATTATTCAACCTAAAGCAGGTATATCCGCCATAGCTTCACTGGCAAAATACTTCACATCTACATCAACATCTTGAACCAACTCAACCAAAACTGGCTCAACTTGCGCTTGCCTGATCCCTTTATCCAAATGCGGCAAAATCTTCTGAAGAGTTTTAGCCACATTGAACCTTACATTAGCCACTTTATCTTTGGCTAAACTTACAACAACCGGCAACAATGATCTGGTTGTAATATCACTGTTTGCTTCAATAAGAACGTTGATGCAAAACAAACAAGTCATTCTGTATAAGTAATTTTGATCTTTTGCCATTAGTAAGAGTTTTGGAATAATAATAGACTCGGCCCAATCTGCACCAAATTGGTTAACCAACTTCTTTAGAGTAAACGTGGCAGCCTCGCGAATTGCGAACACATGATCCGTAAGCCAAGTCAAGCAAAGAGAATTCAATTTTTCATTGAAAAACTCTTTGCCTAATTGCCCAGCTAACAACGGAATATATTCTATAATGGCAAAACGAACTCTCCACTTGGAATCTTGTGCCAATTCAATAATTGCAGGCAACAAGGATTGAGACAGTTGCTCAATTCCAATAACTTCATTGACACAATCCAGGTTTGAAATAATATTCAATCTTACTTCAGGACAATCGTCTTTTAGTTGCTCTAAAAACATTGGTAAAAGATGTTGAATGGTATTGTCACGGCCTAAAATAGGACTGAGTCTTAAAACTGAAGCCAAATTTGTTTTAACTTGCTGGTTTGAATCAGCCAGTAAATCTTTTACACAAGGCAAGATGTTTGTTACGATAATAGTTTCTTGATTTTGTTTGTCCAAATTCAGGCAAAAATCTTTAACATTGCTGGCAATAGCTGCTCTAACATCAACTTCATTATCTTTTAGCAAACTATGCAAAATTGCAACCAAATCCATTGTAGGGGTTTTTGCTTCTAAAGCCTTTTGTAGTTCGATGAATTTAGTTGCAACAGTGTAACGCACTCTCCAAGAAACATCTTCAGCACATTGATTCAAAGAAGGCATTATAAGTTGCTTAACATCTTCTGGATTCAATATTGTTGCAAAACTGCCACAAGCTTCTACAACTAATAACCTAACAGAATCGTGCTCATCTCGAGCCAAATCAATAAACAACGGGACTAAATCGGATTTTAAATATTCCAACTCAATTACTTCTGCGAGGTTTGTTAAGTTTGTTGCAGCTACTCTACGTACCATTGGAGTTTCATCTTGGCATAATCCTTTAAAAAGGAATCTTAGCTTGGGTTTCAAAGTGCTAGAGGCTCTTTGATAAGCAACCCATACAAGCCCACATCCAGATGTTCTGGAAGTGAACCAATCCCCAGTGCTTAATCTTTGCACCAAAGGAAAAAAATGTTTTTCTAAATCAGCAATGTTGTGTTGGCTTGCAACAATTCTTAGAGATTCCACTGCTTTATCACGCACTACAGTTTCTTCCATTGTTGCCAGGCTTTCCAATGGAGGCAACAAACAAGAAACATAATCTGGTCCTCCAACTAGTGACGTAAACTGGCCTAATTGTTCTGCTAAAGCTAAAAGGACTTCGTCTTCGTCGTAAATTGTTTCAGTTAGAAATGGAATTAGGACGGTTCGAGTTTTGTCTACGCCCACAGCTGCAGCTATGGTTGATAGTTTTTTGATGGAATTTAAACGGAGCTGGACGTCTTCGTTTTTGAGTTCTTCTATTAGGGCAGCAATGGGGTACAATGAATCATCAGTTGTGTCCATTTTAGACTTAAATTTTAACTGAATTCATTGAAGGTTTTCTCTGATGGAGTAGAACTCTAAACCTAAAAACGAATCCAGCATATTAAAGATAATAACTTTTTTGATTTGTAAATAATAGTAAACAATTGTTGTTAAAAAGTCCAAAACTTTATGTTCAATATTCAAACTAACTTACCTGGGTGGTTTGGCTTGCCTTTAAATGGAAGAAATATTGCCACAAATTGACGTATTGTTGTTGTGACAGAAGCTACTACCGACGTCTGTCATATTGACTGACATTAATTTTGATGATGAGGATCTTTACTAGGAGATGACGTCACATTTAATAAATTCCTGTTGCCAACCTAACAAAAAAACTAAAAGTACTTTTTAACACATTCAAAATAGGGGAATTTAATTCAAATGTTTTTGCTTGGCAACGGCACGATTATACAGTGTGTCCACTTAAGTTCGCAGCATATGGGAAAAAAAAACAAATAGCATGTACAGGGTGGTCAGAAAAACTGTAAAAGTAACATAGTATCAAACGTAAAAAGAACATTATCTGACCCCTCTGCCATATTAAATTTATTTTTGATAAGTTGTTGGAAAGCAAGGTTCCTAAGTGCTTGTATATAGGTAGTCTGGTAATGGCCAAGACATAACGTCATCAAGTGATTCACATGGGTATTTGCATTATGTTTAAGCATACAGATGACGTCATAAAAGTTATCAGAAAACCTATACAAGCATTTGAGAACCTTGGTTGGAAAGCCTAATTTGAGCGATAAAAGCCAAGTTTTTAAAGGCGATTTTCAGCCTGGAATGATTATTCATCGGTACATACCGTGGTTACTCTTTTGGTTGACAACTTTGACAGCTAAGTATGACGTCATAGCCCACCACTACTCAAGAATCATAACCCAAGGAACTGACCGCTGAAATGATTTGGGTATAGCATTGTAGGGTAATATTTATTATTCTTATTATTTGTTTTGTTCGATTCAACAATGGTTTCTTATTCCAGTACAAAAAAATGGAGCGGAATCTCTCTTTAATCTCGTTTATCGAAGAGATTTTCTTTGGGCGATGATCTAAACATGGTGAGTTGCAGTAAGTGTATACTTCTTTCATTGTGCCAGGCTACAACACAACTGCAAAATCACAAAACTAAAACTCATCCAATACCAATCCCCAAAATAATAACAATAACATCAAAAAACTGTAACCAAAAGATTAACCTAAGTCCAAAGCTGGCTTATAATCGGTTATAAGTGGTAAATACCAAATCAGTTGATCTGTGACGTCACAACTTTCCCTACTTTGGTGAAAACCTCGACAGCGGAAATGCATTGGTTGAAACCAAATAATAAATCATTCCAGACTGAAAATTGCCCTAATTTCACCATTTGCTTATGCGCATTTCTTTTAATCCTTGTGTTGCTGCTGTCAATAAATGACAAGGACAGCATTACATCTACTACCAACTATACATCCACTTTCACCAACGAAATTGCTCTTTGGGGCGCCACTGACATAAAATAACGGTAGCCAGAAAAAAAGAGACATTTTGACATTATTTGTCCTTGTTCTATGACGTCATCCTAAATATAATGTAAATAACTTATATTGGCCTTGTGATAGATGATCAATCAATTTTGCCAAATTAATGTTGCATATCAAAAAAATTTCATTTTTTAAAAGCAAAATAAGGCATTTTGTATTTATATAAAGAAAAAACGCGTCATGTTTAGGTGGACGGAGCCGGAAAAAACAGAAAACGACACATTTTGACAAATTTCGTTACACGAGAAAGAAGAAAGATATAACGTAGAGAGATGGAGGAAAACAGCCATATATATTTGGGATGTGATGTGACGATACTTGACAATGACAGCCGACTTAAGCCGACGAATGATTGACACAATCCAAGGATTAAAAGCAAAAAGGATTGATTATTATTGTCAAGCATCAGAATTCGTTTTTCGTTCAATTTGAAAGTTACTGCAAATTTTCCATTTTAAACACTCTCCCGCAGCATTTTGAAAGGCTTCAGAACAATTTAAAAACCTCAGAAACTTAGAAAACTGCTTTAAAAAAAAAAAAAAATCTCACTTACCCCTTTTAAAAACTGGAAATTTTTAAACAGAAAACGACGCAAATCTAAAGCCCCCTACTTTAAAACCACTTTTTCGTTGAAAAGTCTCAGAAAACTGAAAAATTCGAGGAAAAACTGGGACAAAAACAAAAACACGTTATTCAAAATAGCCGAAATGTCAAGTGTCAATGACATTCCAAGGCCTATACTCGATTGAAACCTGAGTGAAGTTGGCTACAAGCGGTGCTGTCACCTAAAAAAAAAACATTTTAAATGGGTAATTCAATGAAAAGGCCGTTAAATAATTAATTAATAAATAATAATGATTTTAAAACATAAAATTCCCCAACAAAGGTTGTTTTTAATAAATTTTTCTCTTACTCTTCGCCCTTGATTTTAGCATTTAAAAGCTGGAATTTTTGTGAGAAAATGAAGAAAATCCAAAGTCCCGCAGAAAATGACGCAAATCCAAAGCCTCCCACTTTAAAGCCACTTTTCCCGCTAGAAAAGTCCTGAAAAACTGGAGAATTCGAGAAAAAGCCGGGACAAAAACAAAACCGCGTTACTCAAAATGGCCGAATGTCAAATGTCACTAGTCACACTTTATAAATAACATTCCAAGGCCTACTCGACTGAAACCTTAGTGAAGTTGGCTACAAGCAGTGTTGTCACCTAAAAAAAAATCATTTTAAATGGGTAATTTAATGGAAAAGCCGTTATATAATTAATTGATAATGATTTTAATACTTAAAATTCTCCAAAAAAGTTGTTTTTGATAAAAAATTTTTACTCACCCTTCACCCTTAATTTTAGCATTTAAAAACTGGAATTTTTGTCAGAAATTGAAGAAAATCCAAATCCACGCACTTTAAATCAATTTTCCCTACTGAAAAGACGCTGAAAATGTGAAAAAATTCGAGAAAAAACTGGACACTCAAAATGGCCGACTGTCAAAAGTGACAAATAACATTTATTACAAGGCCTACTTGATTGACTACCATAATTACAATCTTAAACCGAATGTTTTTCCAGATTTTTACTCATTTTCCAATGAATTTGCAGCCTGAAAAAGTAACAAATTTCCATGTTTAATGTTAATTTTATTGTATTTTTGGAAAAAACAGTTATTAGTAAGGAGATAAAATAAGATACATTTGCAAAAGCAACAATGGCGAACATAAATGAGTTAGATAAAGAGAGAGATAAAGTAGGAAACATTTTAAGTGTTTGGTCTGTCTGAAAGTGACAGAAAAAGACGCAAATTCAAAGTTCCGCACTTAAAACCGCGTTTTTCCGATTAAGAAGACCCTGGAAAAGCGGAAAATTTACATAAAAAAAAAAACAAAAATGACATTCCAAAGCCTACTTGACAAAAATTAAAATTCTCGTTACTTGCCCCATTGAAAAGCGGAAATTTTGTGTAGAAAATGAAGGAAATTCAAAGCCTCGCATTCTAAATCGGTTTTCCCGATAGGAACGTCCCTGGAAAAGTGGAAAATTCGAAAAAAACTGGATAAAAACGAAAATGTGTCATCCAAAATGGCCGACTGTTGAAAGTGGCAAATGATATTGAAAGCGACGTTGCCACATCTCACATGGAAAAATATATTTTTTTGTTTGGAATTTATTAAAAAGCTGTTGAATAATTGAATAATAATGATTATAAATATTAAAATTCCCGAAATAAGGTATTAGAAACTTGTTTTTAGTTCAATGTCAATGAAAATGACATTCCAAGGCCTACTTGATAGTCAGAAAGACAAAGAAGGAGATAAGGTAAGGATACAATTATTGCAAAAACAGAATTTCTGTCTTTTTTTTTATGTTTATCTTTCAAAATGAATTTTGTGTATGTTTACGTTCAGAGCTGTCAATATTTGAAGTAAATTACTTGAAGTTCTACTTCAAATTAGAATTCAAGTTGTCTCATTTCGGAGTAAAAATAGCAATTTTCAACAATCTCAAGATCAAAATTAAGATAATATGATATGTAACAATTTGGTAAATTATAAGAAAAAAAAAAACGCGTCGACAACATTGTCTGTTCTTATTCTATGACGTCATCTTAAATATAACGTTAACAACCTATATGACTGTAGCCCTATGATTGCAATAAATAAAACAATGTTTCCAACTGTTTTTGAAGGGTAAACTCCTCTAGACACGTTTAACACAAAAAAAATACTGATTAGTGGAGTAGGTTTATGTCAATGGTTTATGCCCACGTCGCCATTTTGAATTATCAGGTGATTCGAATCAAGGAAATATGAAATGTCATTGCGTGATGCGGTCTTAAGAATCATTTACCTACTTGTCAATAACATACGTCAAGTTGAATATTGACCATAATTTTATCCTTGTCGAACTACGGGCAATAAAAAAGGACAATGAGATGCCCAACATGTAAAATGAACACCTCACAGCTGTACTAGTTAGTTAATGAAAAAGATTTGCCTCAAGTTGTGCGCACATGTATATTACTTCAATAGAATTAATTTACAACAAAACTTTTTTCCAAGTTATGACGTCATTGATGACGTCACTAAAAACCTTCGTGAAACGAACTATAAGTACTTGCTAATAAAACATATGTATTTTAAAAATAGATTGTCTGGACTCGGTAATTGCATCTGCGAGCAAAATGAGTAAAATTTGACAGATGTCACGTGATTTGACTCGTAAGAAAAGATAAGTGATCATGTGACGTCCGCCAAGATTTGTTCTTTTTGCTCGCAGATTCAATTACAGGAACCCAGCCATTATATGTTTTGCGTCATGATGACGTACATTCATTCTAGGCCCTTTCGGAAACGCTGATTCGATTAACTAGATCACCAGCTAATGTTTTGTGTCTTTTTCCATTTGTATTCATTAAAAGGAGATAAAAGACATACATGCCTCTGAAAATTCGTTAACAATTTGAAATTCAAAATATTGTCTATTCACAATCCAAAGGTACAGGTAAAATGTATCACCTTTCAATGTTATTTAATAGGAAAAGGTGATAAATTTACTCGTACCTTTGGAATACAGATTGTGAATAGGATATACAGGGTTTTCGGTCTGATATTTCAGAACCGGCTTGAAAAAAGTTTACAATATTTCCTACCTGGGGGTTTTTGGGAATGCCCAATTCAATGGTGGTATTTGCAATGTTGCCAAGTTTAACG